GCATTCAAAACACATGATTCTGCATTGGAAATTACTGCATGGACTCAGGAACACTTCTGAAAGCCATTGTCTGTGAATAAGTTCGCTGCTGCATCCACAAATGCAAGTTAAAACTCTACTATGCAAAGAAGAAACCATATATAAACGGGATCCAGAAGCACCGCTGCCTTCTCTGGGCCTGAGCTAATTTAAGATGGACTGAGGCGAAGTGGAAAAGTGTCCTGTGGTCTGACAAAGTCAAAATTCAAAATTCTTTTAGGAAATCATGGACAGATCATGGACAGTCTGCTGGGCTAAAGACCACCCAGCTTGTTATCATCACAGAGTTCAAAAGCCAGCATCTGTGATGGTATGGTGGGGGGGGTGCATTAGTGCACATGACATGAGTGACCTGCACATCTGTGAAGGCACCATTAATGCTAAATGATATATACAGGTTTTGGCAACATATGCTGCCATCCAGACGACGTCTTTTTCAGGGAAGGCCTCACTTATTTCAACAAGACAATGTCAAACCTTATTCTGCATGTATTAAAAAACATATTTCTAGTAAGAGTAAGGGTGCTAAAATGCCCTGCCTGCAGTCCAGACGTGTCACCCATTGAAAACATTTGGTGCATTATAAAATGAAAAATGCGACAAAGGAGACATCTGAACTGTTCAGCAGCTGAAATCCTACATGAAACAAGAACAGGAAAACATTTCACTTTCAAAACTAGAACAATTGGTTTCCTCAGTTCCCAAACACTTACAGAGTGTTGTTAAAAGAAGACGTGATGCAACACAGTGGTAAACATGCCCCTGTCCCAACATTTTTGGAACATGCTGATGGCATCAAATTCAAAATGGGCACATATTTTTCTATAAACAATAAAATTTCTCAGTTTCAACATTTAATATGTTGTCTTATTAAATATGTTATATGTCATATGTTATATGTGTACTATTTTCAATTAAATACAGGGTTTATGTGATATGCACATCATTACATTGTTTTTATTCACATTTTGCACAGTTTTCCAACCTTTGTGGAAGTATATTTTTTAAACTTACATAAGTTTTTCCCAGGGGAAAAGTATGTATTTGCACATTTCATGTTTTAAAATGGAACAAGAAAAAGGCCAGAGACCAGACAGGGTGTATGAGGTCAATGCAACATAAAAATTATAATTACAATGAAATGTGAGGCCAAGATCAAAAGTAAGGATTGTTTTTGTTCAACACTGATAATTTGAATATTCTCAGAAAAGCCACGTGATTAATTGTTAAAAAGCTTGAGAAGAGGCAGCGTGGCTGTCAGATTAGCCTGAAATGTTTCACCACGTCACATTACCCTCCATCACATAAACTAAAAAGATTAACATGTTCTCTTGGCTTCAATTTCATGGACTGTCTGGGGGGCTCTGAGACAGGTTTCAAAAGTGGTGCCCTAAATAACTAAATAAATCAAATGTGGTGCTTCATTTACATCCCTCCAAAGAACACTTTCTGACACCTTTATTTTTAAGTGAACAAAAAAAAGAGTGCATCAAAAAGTGTTCTGATCACAGAGCAGTCGTTCTCTTTGTGCAAGTGTTCTCTATACAGTAGAACCGTACTGAACTCTTACGTTGTACTCAACATGGATCGGGGCAGCTTCTTGTCTGTGGCACAAGTTTGGCAATTCCTGATCAGGGCTTTAAAATCTAAAATAAATAATGAATAAATAGCAATGAACATGATGCTGTGGGCTCACCCATAGCTCATTTTAGTATAAAAGGCATTTGAAAATAGTTTTGATCACATTTCAAAATGAAAGAAACACAATTATTAATGGCATTCTTATGCAGACCACATTGAACGCTGAAAAATGACCTGCATGTACACACAAATATGGATGTCTGTTTATAACGCGCCAAAGAGAAAAAGCTATGACTGATAAAGCATCTTCCCATCTAACTTCAGACGATCCATCAGTCAGCGTTTTATAATGCGTTATAATAGCCTACATACATACTCTACTACACATACATACACATGAACACAGAAACCATGTCGAAACCGCCACTTTCGTCAGCCGGGACACAGCAGGAAGGAAATGCTAGAAGAACTTAAATACTTGGTCCCCGAACCAGAAACCTACAATATAATCTTTACTGTTATTTAATATTATTATAGATATGCTTAAAATATGCCAGGAATTCATCTCTTTTCCCTCATTCTTATATTCTAGGAATTCACATCATTCTAGTTTCAGCTGAGCCCTGCTTATAACTACAGAACGTCAAGATGGTGATAATTTTTCTATGTAGTTGATCAATCACCTGCTAAAAGGTAGCAATGTTCAGCTTTTCTCAGCTCAGTACTAACTTTAGTACTAGTGTAAGATGACTATATTGGATAAACATTAAAATAATGTAAATACAGTATTATAAACTGATTTACATGGAAATTCCACTAATCTTTCAAATTTTCTGCACAATTCACTCATTGAGATATGTAAAACTCCACAATGCACAAGTAATATTTCTTTACAGTGGTGCTGATAAGAATTAGGGGTCACAGTCTATATCTGCAGTCTACAACAAAAATATAGTCCTTTTAGTACCAAAAACAACCAGTGAACCTACATGTGTCTTCTGATCTTTTATATGTAATGGCGTTCATAGTTAAATTGTAGTAAATCTAAAAAATGTTTTAGGCCAAAACTTTATCACAGAACTAAGGCAAAATAATGTCTTAGGCATCAGGCAGCATAACTATAACCATTTCATTTTTAATTTTCTGTCTTTCTGTAAGGGAGCTTTAAGTGGCATTAGATGCGTCTGATGTCTGGTTCCCAACACCACCATTTTAACCAATTCTAATCACTAGAACAGAGCATTTCACACCAACCACTCTGACCCGTATGGAAATCTTGTACATGGCAATGACATATTTAGCATATAGGAATATCTTTTATATTCCACTTATATTTGTCTGAATTTGTCTGAATAAGTTTTTTTGAAATTGGCCATTTTCAAATATGGGACATATATTTCAGTTATATATCTATATGCACACATATGTATGTGTAACACATATTTTTACTTTTATATTTTATATTTTTTTTTCTACTATGATAGAAAATGTTATGCATATATGGATGGCATACATTACTCATATGTTAGCTTCATGTTATACAAGGTTCTTCCACATACTTCCTAATGACGTGAAAATTAGTATAATAGCTACATAACTAAGCTCATTATAAGCTATGCAATCAAATCACATCATGATGAAATAAATGAAAATACTGTTTTCTGACACTTAAATGATGTGACATTTAAAAGCAAACAGAAAACATCCCAACAATTATAATTGTAGAGGGATGTATTTAGATATTTGTATGATCCATGTATTATGCTTACATGTCCAAGTGTATATATGTACATATATTCTGACTCCTTATAACATAGGTGCATATATGGCCATATATCAGATTTCTACATGGGAATGACCTTGTTTACATATTAACCATTTAACTGTGCAGAAATTTTGAAAAATTGATGGAATTCCCCTTTAAGATATCTTTAGGTAGGTGGTATGTGCAGCAGTGGCAAAGGCAACGGCAGTAACTATGTCAACAGTGAACCTTAGAAAAAAAAACAGCTTCAGTGCTCTGTTGTTGTCTTGCCAAATATGTTCACACTCTGTCCCTGACTCACATTTCTTTAAAACGAAGGCCTGGCTGGACCAAGAACTTTCTGTCACAAGATAAAGCTGATCTTCAGATGCCTGAATTCTGCAGTGACTGCATTTTGCCTTTGTATGGCAGCACTGGGTCACTGCTTAAGCTAAATCAAGACCCTCTTCATTGAAACATCTTCATGGATGAGAGGCCAATCATGTAGGACAATCAGGGTCCGTCTGAAACTGCTTCCCAAGCACCAGGTCAATACTGTAACACTCGTGCTGAATTCATAAACTACAATCATATCTCACTCTACCACTCAGCAAGCAGCCTGCTACTGCAACCTGGGATAGCTCCCTTCTCCTCTGTTTACAGCACATTGGCGCCCTCTCCTGGGCCCATCTGGTACTGAAGGTGAACAATGACAGTTACATAAGTTGGGAAATAAATAAATGGCAATGGCCTTCTAGTGCCTTCATAATGCACAAGGATCAGCATGAGATGTCTGAAAGTCTTTCACAGTATCCAAACTAATAAAAGGGGATGAAAAGTTGGGCGATAGTGTGCTAAAAAAATCAAACAAGCATCATTTTATATAAATAAGTTAGATCACAGCAATTATGAATCCATAAAATCGGCTAAAAGCTGAAATTAGAGAATACTTTGGCTTAAAGAAACACTAATGCATGAACAGAGACTTCATCTCTGGCTATGAATGTGTCACATGAGTCACTTGTGATTTCAGAAAAGTAAATCTTGTGTCATTTTAAGTTGCTTAAATAAAGTTAACAGTTCCATCTGTGTATATTCCGGCCAAAAGCTTGTGGTGTCGTGACCATCATTTTGATGGCAGGTGATAGGACACTGACAGATTCAAGCATTACACAACTAAAGTAGATTTCTATTCAAAACATACTTGCACAAAATCTGAATTTGAATATAGATTTTAATGCAAATATGTATTTGAATACAATCAACAAACAGATGATACTTTAAATTAACAATTAACTGTATACAATCCATTCAGTGAATCCTAAGCCATAAAAAATATTTAAAAGAAAATTACAAAGAAGCCTCAATAACTATATATACATATATTTCCGCAGGATACTAGCTTTCGGTTTCAGTCCACAAAACTTTACTGCACATTTCAGATGTCCAGTTTAGGTGTTCTAGTGCAAATTTCTTCTGTTTTTGTCTATTTACTGTTCTCGGTAACGGCTTCTTGACAGCTACACATCCTTTCAGACTCATAGCGTTGAGTTGTCTTCTCACAGTGGAAGGATGGACAGAAACATCTGTGGACTTTTTCAGATCTGAAGAAAGAGTGGAGCTTGATTTTCTCCTCTCTCTCAAAGATGAAAGTTTTAAGTACTGTTTATCTGATGGTGACAGTTTTGGTGGTCTACCAGGTCTTGCATAGTTGTTAGGGGTCCTATTTTCGCTGTATCATTAATAATTTTCCAAAATTCCTTTTTTCCTCACTTATTTCCCTTTGACTTTACTCTTCCTTGTGCAAGTGGGTTATCATATATCTAATCTCCTTAGAAATAGCTCCTTTAGCCATTTTAGATGCGCATGAGAAAGAGATTAGCAAGGCAGATAAGGTGTGTTTGGGTAGCAGCTTGTGTGAATGTTTGTGTCTCTTTGAGGGAAACATAATGTGACTTTTGGGAACGGCTTTTGTTGGGAGAATGAAGCTGTAACTGGTCGGTTTTAAGACTGAAAGGATGCAGTTAAAGTGGCAGTATGGTGAAGAAAAGTAAAGAGGAGACAAATTAAATACTCAAAATCTTGATAGTATACTTAGAGTTGGAGGCTTTTGTGTAATTTTCTGTTAAATATTTGTTTTACTGCTTTTCTGATGCTGAAAAATAACTTTTACTTAATGGCAGTTTTGATTGAAAATGAAAAAATGCACAGTACTGTAATTCAATATAATTCAATATAATTCATCTGTCATAGTCATATTGGAAAATGCTTAGGAACTTCAATAGAATGGTTTATATAGCAGCTTACAGTTAACACAGTTATTACTGGAAATTACTCAAAATGTCAGCAAAATTAAATGGTTAAGATGTAAAAAAAAGTCATTAAGAGTAGTTTGATGTGAAATGTTCTGTTCTAGAGAAACTTTCAGAATCAGAATCATTCACAGTGGTGGTGATAGGAACCAGATTTCTGAAGCATTTAATGCCTCTAAAAGCTCCCTCACAGAAAATTAGTACACAAAACAGTTATGAATACGCTGCCTGACGTCTGAGACATTGATAGCTTTTGTGATAAGGCTCTGGCCTAAAAAGCTGTTTATGGTGGAAGGGTGCATACAGAGTGTTGTAAGGCAAAATAGGCAGATTTCAGATTTGCCACTACTACTTTACTATCACTCGCTGGTAATTTTGGATAGTAAACAAAATGACTATATCTGTGTTACAGACATTGCAACTCCTGGTTCCCATCACCACCACTGTAAGATATCTGAGTCAGTAAGTTTCTCCAGAATGAAGTATTTCACATCAATGAATAGTCAGAATATTCTGAATAATTTTGTTTACATCTCAACCATTGAATTATTGAGAAATTCCTCTTTGGGTCAGTGGTTTCTTACTGGATGTGCGATGAACAGCCGTGGTTAAATGTAAAAAGGTTAATGTTGTCATTGCACATTGTCACATTCAAGTCTGTCCTTCCATTCAAACCAACACAGCAGTACCAGTGCATGATACTGCCTTCCCTTTAAATCCCCTTTAAGAAAAGATTATAAAAACAAAAAAAAACATAGAAACAACAACATAACAATCCTTCCTGATCCTTTAGGACTATGCTATTTTTGGACAGTTCCAAACACTCGGGGACACAGTAAATGCCGAACACAGGGAAGGCAAAATCAGCAGTGCAATTTACAAGGTCGTACATCTAAACTGTACTGGCAAGGAGACAGGCGGCCATTTTTTTTACTGACATTTCCAGAAGCAGGGTGCCGCCGCAAAAGAATTCGAAAGTCACAACGTTCAGGTAAGGGGAATGGAATCACTTCACTGAGTGGAGAAAAGGCGCACGATAGTCTACAAGGACCTCTTAAGCAGCAGTGCACCCTTCTGCAAGGAGACAGACCAAATTCACACTGGGTTCCACATGAAACAAAGGCTGCAGTCATGCCTTTAAGGCCTGAGGTAAAAAGGAAAGAGAGTCTGCATATGCAATCTAGCCTCTTGGAATTCATATGGACTATAGGGATATTCAAAACCTATAGTGACATGACTCAACACCACATATCATACAAATGTAACAACGCTACTTTTCGGACAGGGGCCACTAATAAACATGAATTATCACCACATTCACTTGAGCAAATAATGAGCCTAAACTCCAAGCAAGCAATACAATGCTGGTGATTTAGTAAGAACTGGATAGAATGGTTTAGGATGTAGCTAGATAGCTAACCATTTCTGGGAATTAGAATGGCTAATGATTTCTATAAAGCTACAATCAGGAATTGCTGTAAATGGCACACTATTTTTTGGTACAATTACAACAGGAGATTTCAAAATACTCCCACCTACCATAAAGTCAGTTACAGCTAAGCCTTAGCCAGCACAGAAATCCCTGATTCAGGCTTTAAACCTACCTAGCATGTCAAAAATATACACCTTCCACTGTTCCCTTATTTGCTATAGTTAATTAGCCATTACTTTGAAATGTGTCAATTCTAGAATAAGCTGTCCTAAACAAGGTGTACGCTGATCTCTTTACTTAAGGGAACAACTTAGCCAAAAATGCTAACATGGTTGACAATAAATGCAAACTAGCAAGGCAAAAAAAGCCAGCAGTTAGCACAGTTATGCTAACTGTTGGCTTCCCTGCCCTGTTAGCTTCCATTCCTTGCTAGCAATGCTACCATTTTTGACCAAAATATCAATTTCAAGTTGTTTCAAAGTAGAAATTATTTGCGTTTCTGATTGTAAATCGTACTGTTGTTGTTCACTAGGGACATCGTGACACAGGAACAGAAAGTTGTCTGAATGATCAACTGCTGCAGAAAACAAAGGCATTTGATCAACTGTCTTTCACTTCTTAGGAAAGTCAATTACTATATATTTCAATACATTTCTATGATGAATCTTTTTTTTTAAATATTTCATTAAGCGCAGGTTCAGGCTTAATCTGGATTAATTGTGAGTGAGTCCTTAGGGTAAAGAGTGACAGATTTTGTACAGTATCACAGCAGTACCCCAACATCATCCACAGATTACACATCTTTTAGGTCCGGTAGAGTTACCAACATTTAGAAAGTGCAAAGCATAAGCCATTCGTTCTTAAGAAGATAAATATGCTGTAATTAGCGCGTATCCACACTGCTATACTGCTGTAAAATGTAATCATCACACAAACAGGAATGGTTAAGGATGTCCAGTTCGTTACATGTGGTAAGTGTAATTCGCGTTTGTAACCTCTCAGTAGTCCTCAAGTGCTAGCTCTGGCTCTGGCTCTACAGCTCTGGCTCAACAGTGGCTGAAGTTGAACAAGACCATCCAATACAGTTTTGACAGAAAATACCTCCTCGAAGTGCAATGGAGAAACAAACGAATATGGACGAACTTCCGAAGACAATAACTTCAGCTTTCCGCTAACGGTTCCCTGCAAGTCGTCAAGGCAGTTGGCACATTGATTGAGTTTCTGTAATTGACCAGCGACCCACCGCTGTGCTGCTTTTGATCCAGAGAGGCTTCAATCCTCTGAGAGCTGCCCGTTCGCAGGCCTGCATGGAGGTCCATTTCTCCATCCCGGTGGAGCACAAGACACCTCTCTCAGCATGTGACGTGGCCTGCACTATCCTCTCCACCAAGCCTAAAGCCGCTAAACCCTCACCTCCAGCATCTTAGCCACATCCACACATCTCATAGGCTCCACTTCATGTGTCTCGGTCCACCTCTTCTGCCAGCTGGCTGGCTGTTGGGTACCCCAGTCACTAAACATGTCCATTCAGAGAGTGGCCAGGATGCGGGAGAAGGAGATGATGATGGTAAGAGTGGTCTGGCCCACCCCAAACACCAGAGCTTCCAGAGGAGCCATGTCTTTTCCTGCCACTCGGTACACCCCCGCCACCGCCGCACCTGAGAAGAGCAACACACAATCAGACTGCAACATGAAAACAAAAAAGAAAAATGCAAAAACACACATGTGGACTTAATCTTCCTGATGACCACTGCTCTGATTTCAGTTCTCAAAAGAAACCATTTAATTCCAATAATGCTTTACCTAGCTTAAAATGTGTCAGGTAAATCCACTACTCTGCAGCTACAGGCTTGCAGCCAAAAAAGAATGTGAATTTGTGCCAATATCAACACTTTGCATAAACTCTTCCCTGCAGCACTGACATTTACTAGACCACAAATCATAATACAACTCAAGCAGGAACTAGCACTAGCATTAGGCGCTCAAGAACGTGTCTTCTGTGTGAAATCAAGCATAAAGTTCAAAATTGCATCCTTATATTCTTAATAATGTGAATTCTAAAAGAATTCTCTGTCTTGTTCTCTCGCTAGACATACATTTGTATGCTTAAGTTTGACCACTTCTGGCCAAATTACATACTTTGTTGATTTTAGAAGTGAAAAGAGGTAAATAGAACTATAAAAAAAATAAAATCAGAATCGTGGCTTGTACAAAATTTGGACACCCTTCCAGCTCTTCCAGTGTCTTAATTTTCTTAAGTCTGTAACTTGTTAAGCCTTAACTGACTCTGTTTAGGCAGGTTAAGAAATGTCATTGGTAACTGTCAGATAATAATGGGACAGAAATGCTCATATGCTGGGCATAAACAAAAAGCACCTTTTGCATACAGTTGGATATATCTATTATATAAAACTGATAGTTCTGGTCCTAAAATCTGATTGGCTGAGCCGCGTTCAAAGCCGTTGTAAAATCCACAATATACACACACCTATGACTGCCTCACAGTGACTGAACTCTGTATTACTGCACTACAGCATGACAAACACTTGAGCTGATAATGGAACAATCTTTGACTCTAATGCTGCTTGCAGGAACCACTCGGTGTACTGACGAAGTAAGAACCCATTTTTTTGTTTAAACTGAGCAGCTGGCACTTTATTTTCTTAACTATAACTAGGCTGGTCAGCTGGCTAACAGGCTAAATGATAGCTAACAGCCTAAACAACTCCATCATTAATATCACAGGCTTGAATTAAAGTACTTATGATATGATTTACTGCAAAAGGGCAATATAAAACTCTAAAGAATGTCACTTAGCTTCCAGCGCCGCTGTGATTGGCAGCTGTTCCAGTAGCTCTGTCTTTTGTGTACTGTTTTTGCACTTTTTCCTGACTTTTTTTTTCTCTATATGCTTATATTGCTAATTTAGTGACTGCTTTGTATGTACTAAGGACATGGAACCCGTTTTCATGCATGCAGGCAGAAATACTTCGTTTACACAAGGGAAGAGCTGCTAGCACTCCGAACAAAGGGTCATGCCAACACAACGCACCCCATTCCAGAGGAGCTATCGGGGTTGCAGAGCCGGCACTAAGCTAAAGGCTAAGCGCATGGAGAAACGCTGGAGGTACAAACCTATTCCTTCGGTGGTGATGGGGAATGTGAACTCTTTGGCCAACAAGACAAACGAACTGACAGCACTGGTTTGTAATCAGCGGTTATACCGGGAATGTGGTCTTTTATGTCTCACGGAAATGTGGCTAACCGGCAACATTCCCGATGCTAACGTGGACATTCCCGGATTCACCACCGTGAGAGTGGACAGGGACACTAAACTGAGCTGCAAAAGCAAAGGTGCGGGACTTGTGCTTTTTGTGAACATCAGATGGCATAACCCAGGACATGCGACTGCGAAGGAGATAATCTGCTGTCGGGATATTGAACTGCTGGCGGTGAGGCTCTGACCCTATTACATGCCCAGGGAACTGTCCCACGCCATTGTTGTTTGTGTTTATGTTCCTCCTCGCGTGGATGCTGAGACTGCGTGTGACATCATACAAGCAACCATCGCGAGACTTCAGACCCAGCACCCTGAGGCTTTCATTGTTATCTCTGGTGATATTAACCACATTACACTGGACTCAATGCTCACTGCTTTTTACCAGTATGTAGACTGCCCCACTAGGAAGAACAGGACAATTGATATCCTTTACACCAACGTGAAGCATGCATACACCGCCACCCCCCTGCCCCCTCTTGGAAAATCTGACCACAACCTGGTCTACCTGCAGCCTCAGTACAAGCCCTGTGTCCGAAGACAACCTGTAACTATACGCTCCTTCAGGAAATGGTGACGCAGAGAGAGCCAATGAGTTCACCCCTACAGCACATTTTCAAACTGAGTCTGCACTTGAGGAGTGTTCCCACAGTGTGGAGGACATCATGCCTCATTCCAGTACCCAAGAGGGGGCGACCCAGTGAGCTCAATGACTTCAGGCTGGTCGCTCTAACATCACGTCATGAAGGCCTACTTCTACACCTTTTCAGACCCCAGGTTCAACATGTAATGGACCCACTGCAGTTCGCCTACAGGGAAAAAGTGGGAGTAGAGGATACCATGCTATACTTTCTCCATCGGGCCCACTCTTATCTGGACAAGGGTGGTAGTGCTGTAAGTTATGTTCTTTGATTTTTCAAGTGCCAACTGAGAGATAGGCTGGCAAGGATGCAAGTTGATCCGCACCTGGTCTCCTGGATTACCGACTACCTCACTGGAAGACCTCAGTATGTCAGGCTGAAGGACTGTACATCAGAGACTGTAGTCAGCAGCACAGGAGCACCACAAGGAACTGTACTTTCCTCCTTTCTCTTTACACTGTACACCTCAGACTTTAAGTACAACTCTGAGACGTGCCACATGCAGAAGTTTTTGGATGACACTGCTTTTATGGCAATCTCTATTGAGGTGGTTGAAGTAGAGAGGGTTAAGACCAGGTATCTCGGACTGCAACTGGATGATTGGTTGGACTGGTCAGCCAACACAGACATCCTGTACAGGAAGGGGAAAAACCGGCTCTATTTCCTGAGGAGGCTGGGGTCCTTTAACATCTATAGGAAACTCCTGCAGATGTTCTATCAGACTGTGGTTGCCAGCTGTCTTTTTTATGCTGTGGTGTGCTGGGGAGGAAGCATGAAAAAGAGAGACAAGATGGACAAGCTGGTCAGGCGTGTGAGGTCAGTGGTTGGTGTGGAACTGGACTCTGTGGTTAAGGTGGCCGAGAGAAGGACATTGCACAGACTGCTCTCAACTATGGAGGATGATGGCCACACTCTGCACACCATCATCATGGACAAGAGGAGCATGTTTATTGGTAGGTTGCTGCCACAGCGCTGCTCAACCAACAGACTCAGGAGATCCTTTGTCCCTAGAGCCATTAGGCTCTTCAACTCATCCCAGTGGGGCCAGAAGAGAAAAGGGAAGAGGATAGATGAGGACTGAATCTCTCATGCTAAATCATAGGTTTATTTTTATCTATCTGCACATGTGGACACCTTACTGTACATATTGCACTTTCTGCACACCTTATTGCGCATCTTGCACAACTGGACACTCCACACCTAGACACTTTAGACACTTTTATCTCCGTACCAATATATGCACATATTTATTCAGTATTGTCATTATATGCTGTTAACTGCTCCTCCTTGTACATTCATTATTTCACCGCCGTTTTTATCTCAGGTTAGAGATCTTATTGCATATTTTTGTATATTTCTATTTCTATATACGCCTGTAGATAGGTTTTTCTGTATATATTCTTAATTTTATAGTGTATCACCCTTATTATTATAACTGTCCTGTGTTGTGTGACTGGTACTGTCTGCTAAATTTCCTTCGGGATCAATAAAGTGTCTGTCTGTCTGTCTGTCTGTCTGTCTATCTATCTATCTATGTATCTAATCTATCTATGTACATGAATGACTTCAAATGTCCGTGTTTCAGTCAGAAGTGGCGTCACACCCAGGCTGAATCCCAAACGGCTCACACACACACACACAGTTAAATTAGATTTAAAAAGCTGAGAACATTAGATTTAAATAGTTTAATTGGGCATTATGTTCACTGTGTTACTGGTGACGGAATTTCATAAATCTACGTAGGACTGCCCACCACTCCGGGCAAGTGTGCTTACTGCCCCCTAGTGTGTGTGTTCACTAGTGTGCATGTATGTGGGTGTTTCACGGCACAGATGGGTTAAATGCGGAGGCCTAATTCCACAGTGTGCAAACACAGTTGGCTGATGGATGGTTCTGAATAATGGCTGGGGAGCACTGAAGAGAAATCTAGAACTTTGTCCTACTGCTTTTTGTAATTCTTGTTACTCTTTGCTGTATTTAAGGGTATTTGTATTTATTCTAATGATAACGTATCAAAAACACAACTACTGCCAAGATACATAGAAATAATGTTCTTAGGCACCTAAAACATTTGCATCTATACTGTATATTTGGATTTGTGTTAGGTGTGTGTGTTAGATTTAGATGTGTCTGTGTGGTTCCATTAGGTTCCATTAAATAGAATTGGGTTAATCTAAGCTGCAACAGAGAGACATAGACACGCAACAGGGAGCGAGAAAAAAAAAGAGAGAGACAGAGAGAGAGAGGGAGAGAGAGAGAGAAACTCTCAGTCAATAGCCCGGTGTCCGCCCAATCCATACTAATAATAAAGTAGAGTGAGGGGACGCATGCTCTAATGCAGGGCCGTCTTTGGGCAGCTTTCATTAGTGATTGACTGAGACCAACAGCAGCTCCAATTCATTCACACCCTGCTGCTACATCCTCACCACAACTCCAACTGCAGCTTTACTCTTCAATAAACCAAACGTCTCATCACTCAGCTGGACAGCGCTGTGTATGCACAGGCTCTTCAGTCATGAAGCACGACAGACGTTCTGACAGACGGATCTGCGCTGGTGTTAGATGTAAGTGTAGGTGATGGATAATGGCTACAAATGTGCCTGCTATAATAAACATTTGAATAAGAATACATTAAACAGATCCCTTTGTACTACAGCCTTTAAACAGAGAGAGGGAGAGAGAGAGAGAGAGAGAGAGAGAGAGAGAGAGAGAGAGAGAGATAATATCATTAATAGGCCTTCCATTAACAAAGGTTAGTAAAGAAGAGAGAGGAAGGATGGAGAAAGAATGAGGGAAAAGACTAACTATAACATACATGAGTTCTGACTTGGGTTAAACTTCAGCGCCACAGAAAGGTTTATAACTATTATTAATAAAGTATTCCATTTTTGCTATCATATGCTTAAAGTAATTATGTTTCCTTGTTTCAAGTTATATAGTGACAGCACCACTCAGCCGCACCCTTTTCCCGTACATTTGCATTTCGAACATTGTAATTATAGTCTACTAAAATTATTAGTAAAACAAAAACCATCACATCGTTCATCATAATAGGCCTACTACAAACTAAACTGAAACTAAATAAAAATGTAAATGCTGACTGAAAACAAACTGAAACAAAACTGAAATCAAAATCAAAATGAAAAACTGAAAATAAAAACTAATGGCATGTCAGCTCATGTTGGGTTTTAGCTGGTAGGCTGTGCGCTGTGCACCTTCTCCAAAATAAACAGCTTCATCTTTTTGGCTGCAGACATGAAAAACAGAGATAGGCCTTGTTCAGACTGCCAGCCCAAATCAGATTTTTGGCATATCCAGATTGTATCCAGATTGATTTGATGCTCTGGCTGCTTACATCGGATTTCAGAGTGTCTTTTGTCTCATTCGCAACGTGACAAACAATGACGATGTCAAATCCAGAGTGACGGAAGTGCTGGGAATCAAGAAGAGCACCAAAGATTCACGTTTATGTCAGAGAATTCTGAAGAGTTTGGAGGGTGAGATAATGCACCTCTGTCTCCTGTATCCTTGTCTAAAATCCGGGTCATCAGCGTAGCTATGTAGTTACTGACGCCTACGTCGTTACTACAGCAACCCACTCAGGTAGGCTGGTGATGTCTGGACAAACAAATACGATCTGATCATTTGCAAATAACGGTGCAGACAGTCGTCTCAAAAGATCTGATTTGAGAAACAAATCCGATTTGCCTGCAGTCTGAACACAGCCATATTTGTTCATGTCTGCAGCCACACAGGTTTTCAAATGAACAAATGTCCATCACTGTATTTTAAGGGCCATTGTGTCAATGATGGAAAAACTTTTTGATAGTCATTTTGATCAATATTGCCCAGCACTGGAGCTGACCCTTCTCATAAGAGACATCCAGACAGGAAGAGAAAGAGAAGAGTAGATAGAGACACAGGTGGAATAAAAAAAGGAAGACAAAAGGTAGGAATGATCATAGTTCACCCCTCTAGTTATGGAGAAAAATGGACAGACAAAAAAGTGAAGAGAGAGACACGTATGGGTAGATAAAGAATGGATGATTGTTCAATACTGGCTCCCAGAAAGCCAGTCCCAGAGAAAAAAATGGCTAAAATCTTTTACAGCTCAGCTGGTGGAAGATGATTTTCTTACACATCTCCAAAAGTCAGTTCCAGAGAATATTAGAAATAGTATTGAAGCCTATCAGTCACAAAATGTAAATGAAAATGTAAGATATAAAATGCCAATGTATGTGTATGTTTGCAATTAATTATACACTCATTTATATACAATTTTGGGCTCAAAATGAAAATTCAAATGTAATACAGCGTTTTTGCAGTTTGGTACACTGGTGTTGACAATTCATTTACACCAAGACTTAGATGTTTTATGAATAGCTTTATTTTAAATAAAATGTGTTTCCAGAACTGCATAGTGATGCTTCATGTTATTATGTAATAACGGTGTCAACGAAGCAATGAAGTTTATTTTTTTCTATATCTCTGAGAAGTACAGCCAAAACCTAACAGTTTGTTCTTCATTTCAACCCAGTGTGCTTTTGAACAATACAGGACAGCCAATCAGAACAGAGATCATTATCACTCTTATACATATATATCACTCTTAAAGGCACAGTAACAAAAACAAACTGGTTGGAAAATGGTCAAAAACTGAAAAAAAAAAGAAATACGATTCTACATTTTTTCCCTGAAGTCCACTTACAACATTTGTGTGGTTTTATGTACCAAAACCAAAAAGAGAAGGTTGGAAGAGCAGATGAGAGGAGGGTGGACTGAGGGCTGAAGGAGGAGTTACTCACTGGTGATGACCCCTCCAGTGAGCGAGGCGACGAAGCCGGCGCTGATCAGCACCAGCGTGATGAGGCGGCCGCGCTTGTGCCTCTGCAGCATCACACACATCAGCAGCCCCACGGCTCCATGCACAAAGAGAGAGGAGAACAGACACCACAGGAACACCCAGTACCACATCTCTGAAACACAACACATCAGACACAGAGTCATGCTTTAACACTTACAAAAATAAAGTGATAACAAAAATAACAAAATTTCGGAATTAAGTATTAATTGCTTCTCACTCATTGCTCATTGAAACAAGAAAATAAATTATGTTAAAACTTTTATTAATTCCACATTTGTGTTAGTAGAAGACTATATACTATATGGCCAAAAGTATGTGGACACCCGACCATCATATCTATATGATCTTGTTGGACATTCCATTCCAAAATCAAGGACATTGACATTGACATCTGCTCCACTTTTGCAGCTACAGCAGCCTTCACTCATCTGGGAAGACTTTCCACAAGATCTTAGAGAGTGAGTCTGTGGGAATTTGTGTCCATTCTGTCATCTGTGAGGTCAGGCACTGATGTTGGACTAGAAGGCCTGGCTCACATTCAGAGTTTCAGTTCATCCCAAAAGTGTTCATCAGGGTTGAGGTCAGGACACTATGCAGACCACTTGGGTTTCTCCACACCAAACTCGTCAAACCATGCCTTTATGAACTTCACTTTGTGCATAGGGGCACAGTCATGCTGGAACAAGAAAAGGGCATTCCCTAAACTGTTGTCACAAAGTTGGAAACATAATTGTCTAAAATGTCTTTGTATGCTCTAGCATTAACATTATCCTTCACTGGAACTAATGGATCTAGCCCAACCCTGAAAACAGCTCCAGACCATTAACCCTCCTCCACCAAACTTTACTGATGGAACTATTCAGGCAGATAACGTTCTCCTGGCATCCACCAAACCCACATTCATCCATCAGACTGCCAGATAATGAAGTTCATCACTCCAGAGAACACGTTACCACTGACGCTTGCCATTGTGCGCAGTGATCTTAGGCTTGTGTGCAACTGCTTGACCATGAAAACGACTTCTTGGGCTAATGCTGTTTACAGAGGTAGTTTGGAACTCTGTACTTGGAGGGCCCATTCTGTGAGTATGCGTGGTCTACCGCATTGTGGTTGAGCTGTTACTTACAGGTGACTGCAGAAATTTCACAAACTGACTTGTGTCATCTTTGACAGCCCCACGGTTAAAGTCACTGAGTTGTTCAGTATGACCCATTCTACTGTCACTGTTGATCTATGAAGACTGCATGGCTGTGTGCTTGATTTTACAAACTTGTTAGCAATGTGGTTAAAATGCTAAACTCAATAACAACCACATACTTTTGGCCGCACAGTGTATTTTATGATTTAGATGAAAAGCTATTGTCGTGCGCACTGTATTGCTTTATGGAAAGAAAAACATGCTTTACATTTGTTTGTCAATGCTTGACACAGACATAAAGAAAAATGTCAAAAGTGAAAATCTGAACCTGAATGTAACTTGTAAGTGAATGTAATTCAATACAAATCTCAACTATGCAATTAAATTGGTAATTTCAAAATAACACTTGAACATGTATTTTATACTACATAGTATGGTATAATATGTAATATGTAGTGTAGTATATATAGCACATATAAAAGTAGTCTCTATGGCTAAAGGGGAATTCCACCAACTGTAAAAACAAAATAAATAATAATAATTCAACAGTTTAGATATAAAAGTCATTCAGAGTGGATTCAGATTTGTTTACAGTGGTGGTGACAGGAATGGACATAATGTGTTCAAGGCAAATGTAGCCATTTATGTGCTATTCAAAATGGCCAGTAAATCTACATATTTTATATGTCATTTCAATAATGGTAAAATAGTGCAAACTCTGACAAAAAAAAGTTTTCTTTTGGTTCTGTTTTGCCATAAATGTCCTGTATGTATACTGCCACCATTAATGCATTTTAAAAATCAATTTCAAGCCAAAAGCGTTTTGCAAATCTACCATAAAATAATGTTTCAAGCATCAGGCAATACATTTGAAACCATTTTAGTGTAACAGAATAAAAGCTTAGTGTGATAGCTTTCTGGGAGGGAGCTTTTAGAGGCATTAAACGCTTTAGACGTCTGGTTCCTATCATCACCACTGTGAACAATTTTGACCCAGCGAGTTTTTCTAGAATGGAGCATTTCACACCAAACCACTCGGAATGACTTTTATTTACATCATAACCTTACATCATAAGAAAAAAAATGAGAGGAATTCCCCTTTTAACATTTCACTTGTAGAAGCAGAAAATTAGATAATAAACTGAAGTTCAGAAAATATTATGATAATTTATTATTACTGCATTATTAGACATGTAATTATGTAATTACATTTGAATTGTATAGCAAAATGAGAGTAATAACTCTTGACTTCTAAGGGTTAAAACAGTCTGCAACCTCCTATCTGATCAATACAAGCTTAATAATGATGTAAGAAAATAAGAAAAGCTTGAGAGGAGAGTTTTCATTGAGTAGTAAGAACATTGTTCTTAAACAAGATATTGTTTTACTGGCTAAAGCATTCTAGGAAGACTGGAAAACACACACACACATACACACACACACACACACACACACACACTTCAGACAACAGCATTGATTTTACATCTCGTGAAGACAGAGAATGTTGTTATATATGAGGCAGTGAGAGTTCTAAGTGTGACTCCCCTCTCTTTAACTCCCTCTCTCTCTCTCTCCCTCTCTCTCGCTCTCTATCTCTCGCTCAGACAGACATGCTTCAGCAGCCCTGAGCTTTGTGCACTCAGCTCAGCCTCTGGGAGACGAAGAGAGAGAATTCCAAAGTTCTAGAATCTTCTGGAACCTATCAGAACCTTAGAGCAACAACCAGAGTGATTCCACAATATTTGATGACGACTCAGAGGCAGCGTTTATTGTACATTTCAGAGGAATCTATGATGAGACGATACCTTTTTTCTCTGTCATACCTGCTGTAAGCTAAAGCTTTAGAAACAGTAGTCCAGCTTTGACACTCCTTATTAATAAGGGTTCAGGACAACACAAGGAACATATGATTTTTTTATACCCTTAAAGAGGAATTCCACTAATTTTTCAAAATTTCTGCATAATTCAACTGTTAAGGTGTAAAGAAAGTTATTAACAGTGGTTTGATGTGAAATGCTTCGTTGTAGACAAACGTACTGAGTCAGAATTGTTCACAGTGGTGGTGATGGACGAGTTTAATGCATCTAAAAGCTCCCTTACAGAATGTTATTACATAAAATGGTTATGAATTCACTGCCTGATGTCTGAGCCATTGTTTTAGGATATTTCTGAAATAAAATCTTGGCCTAAAATGTATTTTCAAATTGTACTCATGGCAGAGAAGTAAAAAAAAAACAGTCTGCAGAGAAAACGTACCACTATTTTAACGTCAGAAGAACATGCAGGTTCACTGGTTACTTAGAAAGCAAATAAAATGTCTATATATATTTTATGGCTATACTGGATATTGCAACCCCTGGGTCCCATCACCACCATTATAATGAAACTCAAGCTCCAATGCAAATATAGCCTTTTATTTACTATTCAAAATGGCCAGTGAACCTACAAATTTTATATGTCATTTTGATAATGGTGAAAGAGTGCTAAATACACACGCACACACACTCACATCATCTAAACCGCTTACCCTTCTGGATCACGGAGGGGTGCTGGAACTTATCCCAACAGTCACTGGGCGGAAGGCGGGATAAACCCTTTACAGGTCACCAGTCCATCGCAGAGCAGATAAACAGACGTATACATCCACACACACAATCACTCACACATTCACACCTAGGGGTAATCTTAGTGTGTCCAATTAGCCTGACTGCATGTCTTTAGACTGTGGAAGGAAACCGGAGCACCTGGATGAAACCCACGCAGACACGGGGAGAACATGCAAACTCCACACAGAAAGGACCCACTGCGCCACTGTGCCGTCAGAGTGCTAAATATATATATACAAAAACTTCTTTGGGTTTATATTTTGCCTTAAAATGCCAAGTATGTGCATCACCACCATTATAAAGAAATTCAAGCCAGTTAGTGTTTCTACAAATAAAGCATTTCACAAGAACACACTCTGAATAACTTTGTTTACATTTCCATGACGGCAATTTTTTTTTTTTAAATCAGTGGAATTTCTTTTTGACAAAACTAACATTTATGGACACAGAAATCTGAGTAACCTCAGGGGCTCCTGAGAGGTGCGACCATCTAAGCATTCACCCCAACATCAGGAGACTGTAAAGGTCACCCCACACCAGATGGGCAGTGTCACAGAGAGCCATGTTAGCATTTGTCTGTTTGCCTAAAAGACTGTCTGTCTTTCTGTGGGTTAATTTCACATCACGTGATCTACTGTGGCTTAGGCCTGGGCGATAGGGCATTTAGATACTGTCGACAATAGACAAGTAACCCGACAGCAATGAGTAAATGGATAATCTGTGTTTTGGGAAAGAGCTGAGATTGCTGAGAAGTTGGACAATTTTTTTAAGCAGCTGGTAACTATGTTGGATTCACTTTTAAGAAGTGTGTGGGCGTGCGCTCTAATAGTCAGTGTTTTTCTGTGAGAGAAAGAGAGAGAGAGGTTTGTTAAGAAGCTGCCTATTTGTTCTCTCCGCTACGCTCTGTGATGCTAGCTCTGTCTACCCCACAGCTCTTCACCCTCTTATTTTACTTTATGTTAAGTTTAGCTTGAGTGCATGTAACTGAAAACAAATGCCAGCGTGCTTTGGAACATCAGCTAGCTCCAGTGCCAGATGGAAATGGAAGCAAAAAACAAATTTTATATTGTTTATCTAACCGTGACTAACTAAAACATGAGAGTCAGGAGAACTTTTGACTAAACTAAGATGTTTGAGGTGGGTGAACTTGTGACTGTAAGTTCAGTGAACTTGAGAAAAGATGAGTAATAAATGATCTTAAAATTTTAAGTTGACTTGATTTTTTACAGTGTGAAGTACCATCGGTCACACGCATTTTACTATTCTGCTACTTGGGAATAGTAAAATGGATCAGCACATGTCGTGTGTAGAGTAAGGAGACTGGATATACGTGTGAGCAGACTTTCACAAACAAAATAAACCAGCAGA